CCTCACCCGAACCCCACCAGGCTGGCGCCCTGATCTCCGACTTCCCACCTCCAGAGCTGTGGGGAATGAATGTCTGTTGTTTATAAGCCACCTAGTCTGTGGTACTTTGTCACAGCCGCCCAAACGGGCTGGGACACCTTCCCTCTCCATCCCCAAGGCGAAGCTTGGATGGACATCAGCCTCCGTTACTTTCAAAATATACCTGAGTCTGGCCACTTCTCCTGATACCCCCGCCCGCCCCCCATCCTAAAATAAGCCTGGACAACACCAAATCCTCCTACAAGATGGCCTGCCTCGATTCTTGTCTTTCTATTGCCAGAAAAATATGTTTTAAATAAAAATAAGACCACACAATTCCCTTCTCAACCGCACACGCCCCTCCCCAAGTGGCTTTCATCACAATCAGAATAAAGTCAAGCTCCACACGCGACCCAGAAACCGTGCAGGAGGGGCCCCCGCCAGGCTCCCTGGCCTCACCTGGTCCCCTGCTCCCTCACGCTGCCCGCCACCACCCGGGCTTCTGGACATCCCCAAACACATTACGCTCATGCCTGGGCGCCCGCTGCCCCTCTGCACCCCCTTCACTTCACGCAGGTCCCTCCTCTGAGAGCACAGCTTACAGTGAAGTTTTCTGGTGGTTCCGTACCTGTGATATTGCAACACATCAATACAGACGCAGGAGTGAGAATCCAGGGGCCTCTGTGAAGCCAGACATTAAGAAGACTCTCAAAAAATGTAAAACAATGCCACTCTTCTCACTAAGCATTTTTATTTTGGAAACTGTGGCTGGTTTTCATAAATAATGTGTTACCTGTGTTAACATAATGGGCTTGTCCCGTTGTCCCCAGCTGGCCATCACCAAACCAAGAGGGCAGCCCTCTGCGAAGGCTCAGGCCCTCTGTGCTCCCAGGAAGCCCTCACTGCCGTCCCATCCACTGTACCCGAGGGTGGGGGATGGGCACGAGGCTCCGAGGCTCCGAAACAGCCGGATCAGCTCTCGTCTGTCCCAAATGAACACCCAGAACACAAGCATTTAGAACCGGGAAGAAGTTCAACGTGCAAACACCACAGGCCTTCAAAGGAAAAGCAAGCTCACGTCCCCAAGGTTACCTGTTGTTGTGGGGTGAATCGTGTCCACGTCCAGACCCCTAGTTCCTATGAATATGACCTCATTTGGACATGGGGTCCTTGCAGATGAAGGATTTCTGAATGAGCTCATCCTGGATGGCCTTGGTGGACTCTAACTCCGATGACCGTGTCCTTAGAAGAGACAGGAGAGGGAGGTTGGAGACACAGACACACAGCGGGGAAGTGGCCACGGGACGACGGGGACAGCCATTGGAGGGATGTGCCCACAAGCCAAGGAATGCCCAGCGCTGCCAGCGCCTCCACCAGCTGAACCCTAACTTCTGAGTGCAGTGCTGCTTTAGCCGCACGGAGAGGCCACCGACAGGCAGTCGGTGACCCAGCCGAGCTCAGGTGCCCTGCAGGAGCCCAAGGCCGGGGGAAAGCAGCGGCCTCCTGCAGCGGCTGCCCTGCGCCTCCAAGCACTGTCCAGCGCTGGGACCTCGGGACGCTTCTCTGTTGCCACTCGCTCGGGGTTTCCCAGGTACCTCACCCCACCTCACGCAGTGCCCACCTCAGCCCTGCTCCCTCCTCAGCGCCAAGTGCCGTGGGGGCTGCCGCAGGCACGGACACCCCACAGGACGGCCGAAGGCAGTCTGCCGGCCCAGATTTACTCTCTAAGAACTGACTCCGTAACCATGAGGAGGTCCCCACACAGCCCATGGCCTGTGCAACAGCACTCAGCAGGGCTCCCCAGGGCCCTACGCGCCCATCAGCCTCCCGGAGACACCCCGGGGGGCTTGTCCTGTGAACAGCACCTTCTTGTCCTCCCAGGTAGGAGAATGAGGACTGTCACCGAGACAGGTGGGGATTTCCATGACGTTATGCTGTTGTCACCATCCGTGTTAGCCCGAGCAGGGGCTGAGATGTGTCGGTCTGGAGAACGTCAGAGAGAGAGAGAGAGAGACAGACAGACAGACAAAGCGAGAAAGACAAAGAGACAGCAAGACAGAGAGCTGTCCGGCAGCCGGCCTGTCCAGGGAGCCCCAGCATGGTGACCGGTGTGACACAAAATTCCCAGGGGAGACTCTGCCCCTGAATTTCACAGAAAACAGCTGCTGCCCAGTGCCCACACCTGACTTGGTGACTCAGCCCATGAAGACAGCACCACACGGCGTCCCCATGGGGTGTGTGGGGGAGGGGCGAGTCTGAGGACACCCTGCTCTCCTCCCCACACCCCCACCTCCTGCAGTACTGTAGGGTTGGGGCCGCAGGGTGGAGCTGGGGGACGGGCTCTCCCCTGTCACGCCCAGCCCAGGCCTGCATTCAGTCCTTCCTTGGCCACGCCCAGCTGCCTGGCCTGGAGCTGGTCACTTAATCTTGCTGAGACGGGGAGAATGATGACCCCACCTCCGGGCAGAGGAGGGGACAAAATCGGTCATGTGTGGAAAGCAGGGGACATAGTGCCAGGCACTTAACAAGCGATCGATAAACGCTGCTTCTCTTTTTATGATCAGCTACTGTGTTCAGGAAGCCTTGCTGGGGCCTGTGGGGGACCTAGCACAACCCCACTGCTCAGGTAAGGAAACTGGGACTCCAAGACAAAGGGCTCACAGCAAGGGCATTTCCGGGGTGGCCCCCGAGTGTCTGGCAAACTCTGCGGTCCTTGTCCTGGGACGGATTTGCCCTCAGGGCAGCAGCCCGCGTGGGCAGACGGCCCAGGCTCATCCGCTCTGGCCACACTCCTGGGTCATCCCACTGCTGCCAGAGTAACAGGACCAGAGCCCAAGTAGGGGTCTAGGATCTGGCCGGAGTCCAGCTGCACCCCTTGCTAGTCGGGCCTCGGTTTCCTTATCTGGGAAATGGGGAGAAATAGCTATTGCTGCGTCCGCTGGCTTGGAAAGGAGCGATGAGACAGTAGATATGAAAGAAAGCCGCGGGCGCGCACGCTGGCTCCGCCTTCCTCCCCGTGGCCCGCCCCTGGAGGCGCCTGCCCTGAAATGGGCCCAGGCGCGCTCCAACCTCTCCTCCCAGGGAGGCGGCGGGGGCGGTGGAAGGGGCCGGGGCTCGGTGGAAGGGGCCGGGGCTCCGGAGGGCTCCACTCTGAGCCTGCATCTCTTCTTCATTAACTCGGTGGCAGAGAACGTGGAGAGGCTCGGGCCCTGCTCTGGGGCAGACGCTGGGGCGTGCGCCCTCACTGGCTGACGGCGACAGCCTGGCAGCTCTCTTCCCTGCTCTGTGCCTCAGTTTCCCCATCTGTTAAGTAGAGCCTATTGTGACCGGTCTCAGAGGGCTGCTGGGTGGAGCAAGTGGGTCACGATGTGTGGAGCCTCTCGGGGTAGGCCCTGGGACAGGCTGGGAACTTGGGGGGCTCCTACCATCCCCATGGACCGACCACCCAGAACTAAGGCGTGGTCCCCATAGTTAAGAGTATATTCCTTCTAAAGCAGGGTTCTCAGCCCCGGCACTACTGCCATTTGGGACCAGATCATTCCCACTTTTGGAGGGGGTGGGGGGCTGTCCTGTGCGGTGATGGGTGCTTAGCAGCGTCCATGGCCTCTACCCACCAGACGCCTGTAGCACCCCCACACACACCATTGTGGCAACCAAGGATGTCTCCAGACATCACCCCACGTTGCCTTGAAAGGGGACGCAAAATCATCCTCAGCTGAGAACTGCCGTTCTCGAGACTTGGACTGAAACAATCCCTACTTTAAATTGTATTCGGATTGCTCAGGAGTCCAGTCCTCCATAGTCGCAAAGGCATTTTGAAACAACTCTTCGTTTTCACAGGCAGGTGTGTCTGCATTATCGTAGATTCAGAGCTGGGTAAGAAGCGACAGACACTCCTTGCTCCGGGTTCAGTCCTCACAGGCGCTCTCGAAGTCCGTTCCCTCCCCAGGGGCTCACAGCAGCTCTGGGGGTAGCTGTACAGATGAGGAAACCGGGGCACAGGGCTGCCCCNGGGGGCTCCTACCATCCCCATGGACCGACCACCCAGAACTAAGGCGTGGTCCCCATAGTTAAGAGTATATTCCTTCTAAAGCAGGGTTCTCAGCCCCGGCACTACTGCCATTTGGGACCAGATCATTCCCACTTTTGGAGGGGGTGGGGGGCTGTCCTGTGCGGTGATGGGTGCTTAGCAGCGTCCATGGCCTCTACCCACCAGACGCCTGTAGCACCCCCACACACACCATTGTGGCAACCAAGGATGTCTCCAGACATCACCCCACGTTGCCTTGAAAGGGGACGCAAAATCATCCTCAGCTGAGAACTGCCGTTCTCGAGACTTGGACTGAAACAATCCCTACTTTAAATTGTATTCGGATTGCTCAGGAGTCCAGTCCTCCATAGTCGCAAAGGCATTTTGAAACAACTCTTCGTTTTCACAGGCAGGTGTGTCTGCATTATCGTAGATTCAGAGCTGGGTAAGAAGCGACAGACACTCCTTGCTCCGGGTTCAGTCCTCACAGGCGCTCTCGAAGTCCGTTCCCTCCCCAGGGGCTCACAGCAGCTCTGGGGGTAGCTGTACAGATGAGGAAACCGGGGCACAGGGCTGCCCCAATGGTTCCTGGGCAGTGAAGCCACCATGTGTCCCCAGAGCAGACGTGGTCAGCACCCCGCTAGGCCCATCTGAGCCTTTTCATGCTCTGCTCTCCTACGCTGACCACCACGCACACGCCACCTCCCTGTGACAGGTGGGGGAGCCGAGGCCCCTTGCATCACGCTGCCTCCCCAAAACCAGGCCAGAAGCTGGAAGTGGAGGCTCTCGGGAAGAATCCAGCACCAGCCATGCCACTGGACAGGACACCTGACGCCTAGTGCCGTGTCCATCAGGTGGCACATTCCTCACTTCCCAAAAGGCCATCTGGTGACCCGCCCCAGCGAGTGGGTCAAGCCTGATCCAGAATCCACCCTCCCACTTCGGCCTTTCTGATCCTCTGGGTCCTTCCTGTCCCAGCCCTGCAGTTGGCCAGGTGCCCCTTAGACCTCTGCCCTCAGCAGCGTCATTTCAGGAAACCAGGCTGGCCCCAAACAGCCTGCATCATCTGTGATGGAAAACTCCCCCATTTCGGGCCCTGAGACCTCCACCCAGGGGACAGGTGCTCCCCTCCCCAGCTCCCTATGGATTGGCCCTGGCAACCAGGGCTGGCCGGCTCCTGGCAGTGCACCCCAGCTTTGTGAGAGGCTATGAAGGGCAGTCCCAGCAGGTCTCCACTGGCACCCCACTGTGCAGACCCCCTCCTGGGGATGAGGAGGCCCCTGCAGCGAGTCCCGCCATGGCCCTGAGCATCTTGTCTGAGCATTTCTGCATTCAAAGGCCTGGCAAGGTGACGATGGGGTGGGCCCAGGCTGGCCCTGGGGGTGAGCTCCAAGCAGGCTGTGGCCACACACCCACCTGGGCCCCTCTGACAGGTGAGAGGCTGGTGCTCCTCTGCCTGGGGAGACCCAGTACCCAGCCTAATGGGGAGGGAGTGATGCTGAGGCTGGGGGCAGAGGGACTCAGTGGAGGCCACCAGGCAGTCTGGGGGCAGAGCTAAGACAGGAAATGCTGCACCTGGTCCCCTTGACCAAGCACTTGCTCCAACTCCAGGGGCTGGGAGGGGCCTCGCAGGGCCCCGCGGCTGGTCTTGCTGCACCCACCTGCCCTCCAGGCACTCTCAGCCCAAGATAAAGTGAAAACTGGAAATGCAGCTTCAGGTGGCGGGAAGGAGGCTGGGCTCTGCTGAGGGTCGGCCTGGTGGGTCCCTCGGAAGGGAACAGGCTGAAAGGTTCCTGTTGGGAAAGGCTCCGGCCCTCGTCCTCACATGTCCTACCTGGGCTGAGATGTGTGGAAGTGGGCCTGGCGCCAGCTTTCTAGCCTCTGGGCTACAGCATGGCCCCAGCAGGGTCTTGAGGGTCTGAGACCAGTTCCGGGAGCTCATACCACCTTAGGACCCACCGGGCCAGGGGGCGGTGCTTACCCCTCAGCTCCTGCCTGGGGCTGTTCAGTGGAATTAGAGCTCTTTTCTATACTGAGGACTTCTGAGGGCTAGAAAGACCTCTGGGAGCAGAAGGGGTGGGAACACACGGAGTTAACCCGCGGGAGATTGGACTTTTAGCTAAAGCATCCGAGATAAACATACAGTTAGAAACCTGGGGTGTGTCCAGGGGTCCCTTTAGCGCACATGTAGGACAAGGACCAAGGGTCAGCTTTCTGGTGTCCTTGTGTTCTTGTGGCTTCTATAACTGGGGGAGAAATGGTGACCGTTTCTTGGGTTCAGAAAAAGAGAGGGGGAACCCCCCACTCTGGCTAGGGTGGGCTGAATGGTGCGTACACATCTGTGACCACGGCACTGTCTTGCACCCCTGAATGCGAGAACCCCTAGAGGCTGACTCCACTGGCCGCCACTCACCCAGCCCAGCCCCCTGCCCATGTTCAGGGGAGTGTCCCCAACCGACCTGCGGCCACCTACGCAGGCCCTTCTCGTTGTGCGTGAGCCCTGGATCGCGCCAGGGAGACGCGGGTGACGACAGGCCCGCCGCCCCGCGGGGACTGGGGTCCCGGGAGCGCCGGCTCCGGCGCGGCCAATCCCGCCCGGGTTTTGCGGCCGCCGCGCCCTCCTCCGCCTCCCGCCTGCCCGCGCCCTCCCTCCGCGAACGCGCTCGGATCAGTCTTCTGGCATTTCCTGCAGCGGGGCCGCGCCGCCAGCTGAGCCCCCGCGCTCCCGGCCCTGCGCCCCGAGCTCACCGCACGGTAGGGGCGCGGCGGGCGGGGACGGGCCGGGCAGGGGGCCGAGAGGGAGCCGGGAGGGACCCCGCAGGGCCTGGGGAGGGTCCGGAGAGGCCGAGGCGGAAAGGGCCGGGAGCGACCGGCGGTGGCCGCCAGCGGGGATCAGGGGAGCCCCACGCCGCAGCGCCGGGACCCCAGGGACTGGGACGCGGCCCCGCAGGGCCGCCACAGTGACCGGCCCTGCCCTGCGGGGCTCTGCCCCGGCCTGTGGCGCCAGGAGCCCGGGGTGGCGCGGGGACAGTCCCAGGCGAGGACGGATTGGGGCGCGGGTGGGGCCCGGGTGTGGGAGCGGCGCGCCCAGCCCGGCTCCCCACTTGGTGCTTTAAAGAAGCAGGGACTTGAAGGCGTGGCCGGGCGGTCGGCCTCGGGTAGCCAGGTCTGCGCCCCAGCTGAGCGGACTCCCGGGTCCAGAAGGGGAGGAGTGTGCGAGGGGGCGGCGGGCGGGGGGCGCGGGGTTGCTGCGGCGGCCCGGGTCTGGGATCCGGGCTGGTTCTGAGAGCGGCTCTGTCTGGGTGCACAGAGTGAGAGGCGGCCTGGGCTGAGGGGAGGGTCCTGGCTGTCACCCAGCAGCCACAGCCTCCATCTCCAGGCCACTGGCCCTCGAAAGATTTGGAGCCTCAGGATGCTCTGGGGACATGAGTTTACAGGAGGGCCCTGTGCACTTGAGCGTTCCTGGAGGTTAGTGGAGCGTGGGACACGGTGTTGGGGGCACTCGTCAGCCTGGCTCCCCTAGCAGTGCCCCCTTCTCCGTCCTCCTCCTCTGGGCTGCCTGCTGTCAGCAGCCGGCTGGGGGTGTGGACAGGTCCTTCCAGGAATGAGGTGGCCTCCTCTGCGCCTCGCCCACCCTACGACTGGGCCAGGCCTAGCCTTGCCAGAGCAGCTAGTTGGGTTTCTGCTCTTTTGTCATCTGGAGGTTTTACTCACTTGCCACTCTGTCTACACAAGGAATAATGTATATGTGTGTCTGTGTATTGGCCTCAGCCCTTTCAAGATGCCTTTTACCCCTGTGATTGTCCCCCTGGGTCCAGCCACCAGCCCAGGGCATTTGGGGCTGGGCATGTATGGCCTCGGATCTGTGTACGGCTGGTGGGTCCGGGTCCCAGACAGCAGAAACCCTGCCCTCAGCAAGAGCGGGCACAGTGCTCCGTCGCTGCCTTTTTACCCCACTTCCTCAGCGGTGCCGCCTGGTGGTTCCTTGAACTTGACAAACGTCGCAGGCAGCAGGTGGTGCAGGGGCATCTGCCGGCTCCCCTTCAAGCTTCAGGCTCCAGATTTGCAGATCCTATTGTCTGCCTGCACGTGTGCAGGGCAGGCCCAGGGTGCCAGGGAGGCAGGCGCCCAGCGTGTCTGTCTGGTCTGCCAGGCTGTGTGTAGAAAAGGTGACAATCAGATGGGCCAGGCCAGGGCCTTGTCTTGGGGACCCTGTTTGCAGATGTTGGGCCCTGGGTGGTGACTCCTGGATGCCAAGTGGAGGCTCCTCCTTCCTGGGCCTGGCGGTCAGCTGGCCCGAGTTGGGCTGTGCATGGGTCAAGTCCTTGTTCAAGGTCCGCCCTGGCCCCATACAGAATAGGACGCAGTCCCTCCCCGCTTAGGGTGGCATTTACTATGCTGAGCATGTCCCAGATCAATTTCTCTCCAGAAGCCTCTCTTCCTGGAAGCTTCCCGAGCAGTGGTAGTAATCTGACAGGCTACGCGTGAGGGAGAGGAGAGAGGCTCTGTGACAAGACAGTGGTTTGAAGGCTGTAGTGTGTCTTTCCTTTCTGTGCTTTCTGCTGATGCTGTGTTTAAGCCAGCGTTGGCACCCGTGCACACGCACAGACAGTGTACAGGTGGAGGAGAGCACACCCAGGGTGACAGAGGCTTGCCCCGCCCCCGTTCTCAGTCCTTGTTCAGGGACAGGTGTTCAGCTGAGAAACTGCAGACCCAGCTCATGGTGATATGGGTGAGGCCTGACGCCCTCGAAGCTCTGACTGGGACAGGGGACTGTAGAGACCTGAGGGGACACAGTGCATGCCCAAAAGACCCCAGTCATTTTGACGTGAAGGGAGCAGTCAGGTGCTGTTCTCACGGTGGGGCCCCCGTCAGGTGGGTGGAACTGCCTGGCTGCTCCCAGAGGTGGCAGGGGAGCCAGGTGGGCACCATTGTGTGTTGGGGGCTAGGTGTGGGGCGGTGTAGGCTGCGACAGGCTGCGACAGGCTGCGACCTCCTGAAAGCCACCAGTGTGCTGCCCTGGGAGGTTCTTGTGCCCCTCACGGCCGTCACAAAGGAACAGCATCTTGCTTTGGTCCCAGATTTGCCCCATGACCCACCAAACCTACTTACGGGCTGAGAAAACAGAACTTACAAGGAGGGGTGCGCTCTCTGAGGGTTTGCAGCTGGCCCCTCGTGCCCTGCACCCGTTGGTTGCTCACTGAGAAGTGTGTATGCAGATAGTGGAGCAGCTCCAGGGGACAGTGCAGTCGGTCCAGCACAAAGAATTCAGACTTTGGATCTTGCTGTTCTCTTAGCATCACAGTTGTTCCTGGCCAGGGCCCCTGGGAGCGTGTGCACAGGGTGTGAAGTTGACTGGCGCTGGTGTGTTGGCCAAGGCGAATGAGCCCCGCTGTCTGCTCAGGACCTACCTCATTGAAAGCCAAGGCTTGGGGGTGAGGGGGGCGGTGCTTAGAGCTCTTTGTCCAGCCCAGTGGCTGAGGAATACGCCACCCAAGGGAAGGAAAGTCACAGGACTGAGATGTGGGGCAGCCTGGACATGCTTCACGGGCCCCCAAGGAGGGAACCTCTGTAACCAGGATCAGAGACCTGAGGGATGCGAGGAAGGGGCGCTTGATGACCAGTGGGAGGGGCCTTAAAACCCCCTGGCCAGGCCCCTGGGAAGGTGCAGGGTCGTCAAAGAATTGCCAAGGATGTCTGGGTCGTGGAGCCAGTCTTCACTGTTGCTCAGGGCGTGAGCCTGCTTGGCCAGCTCTAAGGGATCTGGTGAACCCTCAGGGCTCTTGCAAATCTCAGAGCCAACGCTTAACCTGGCGTCTCCAGCCTGCCTCACAGCCACGCTTCTGCAGCCTCCAGCTTTTGCCTGGAGGACCACACTAGCCATCCGACAGTCTCTCCATTCTGGCCTCTTCTAGTCCTTCTCCATCCGGCACCCAAGCATGATCTTTAAAAATATAAACCACATCACGTAACTTATGCACTTAGAGTCCTTCGTGATGCCTGCTTATCTCAGAATAATTCCAGCCTCCTTTCCATGGCCCACAAGGCCCTGGGCGCCCTTCCCACCTGTCAGCTGTCCCACCTCCAAGCTTGTGTTCGTGGATATCCAGTCCCAAGCCCTCTTTTCCTACCCCAGGGCCTTTGCACTTGATGTACCCTCTGCCCAGGGTGGTAATTCAGAGCTCAGCTCAGATGTCACTTCTCTGAGAGACCCTCTGTGCCTGACTAAAATACGTATTCTAAGGTAGCTGTGTTTTGTTTTCTTAGCAGCATTGATCCGTATCTGAAATTATCTCCATCTGTAACTGAATGATTGACTATGGAGAAAGCAGCTGGACCAGAGCCAGGTCCACAGTGGGCACTGTTAGCACATGTGGTCGTTGTTAACTTGTTGTCTGAATGTCTGCTCAGGGCTCGGTTCCTGGGCCTGGCGCATAGTAGGTGCTCTGTGCTCATGTGAAGCTGTAGGACTGTTTTTGCCCAAGGAAGTCAGTGACTTGAGCCTGGATGTCCCGTCCAGCACCTCCCTCCTCCAGCTCCCAGGAGACCTGGCCAGCTCATCCCCTCTGTGCAGGACCCGTTGCCACCCTTCTTCCCACGGTCCTGGCCTTCCTGAACTAAAAATAGAGTATGCAGAGAGGCTAACCTAGGAGGCGTGCCTAACATTTTACCTGGTGAGTGGAAGTGGGCTAAACTGAGGGCCTGACCCTGGGGGGCTGCAAGGCTGAAGGGGGAGTTGAGGCCCCACAGCTGAAAGACATCTACCCAGTAATGCATACAGGTTTTTACACGCTTGATGAGAACGTGGGGAGGAAATCTGAGGACACCCCATCCCACAGGCCCCTGGCCAGGCTGTCCCTGTGACTAGCCGGGGGTCACTTTCCCTTGTCCAAGGCCCCCGGAATTTGGAGACTGGGTGGTGTAGGCCACGAAGGTAGAGGGGGGTGATGGCTGGCAGGGATGAGATGGAGCAGGCCCAGAGCCAGGTTTCCTGGTCCTCCGCTGCCAGGGGCAGGGGTGGTGCTTTTGTCCCTTTCCTCCCTGCCTGGGCCAACAGTCACACCGGTGTTCAGCAGCTTCCTCGCGGGGAAGGACAGTCTCCGCCAAGAGGAGGGAGCCAGGCAGAGGCATTGGCATGCCCACCTATTGGGGTGAATATGGTGGCGTGGGGAGGTAGCTTAAGGGGCCAGGGCTGTGCAATCGGGGAAGGGAGGGGTGGGGGGGTGGGGGAGCACCCTTGGCTGTGCTGAGGAGGGGCAGGATATCTCATGCCCGCCTATTGGGGTGAGTACGGCAGAGGGTCCACGGATGAGCCTGCAGCTGCGCCACAGTTCACCACGGTGCGGCGGCGGGAACCGCGGTGCGGCGGCAGGATTTGTATGCCCCTGTATTGGGATGAATGCGGCGGTGTATAGTCACTTAAAGGGCCCGGGTCTTGGGTGGTAGACTGGCTGCGATTTCGCCATCTGCCGGGTTGGCTTCTGGTGGCTGTGCGTTCCGCCTTCCATGGTCCTGGGAGAGCCCCTTCCCAGGAGGCCAGAGGAGGGGGACCAAGGGGGACCAGTGGGCGCCTGAGCAGCTGGGAGAGGAAGACTAGACCTCCCACCCCACCCCCAGTCAGGAGTCCCACAAATGCAGCAGGATGCAGCCCAGAGCCGGGCTGAGGTCCGCTGACTCGGAGGACTTGAACCATCAGCAGGGGAACCGGTGGGACATTCCTGGGGTCAGAGAGCCCAGGGGAGAGGCCATTTGTC